TCCCTAACGTATTTTTTGTGCGTATTACACCATTAAGGTTATTATAACCGTTTACAAATAGTCCTTTTAACAGGAAGAAACCGGTAAAAGAGATTATTTCTAAACGGTTATAACAACCTTAATAGTGTAATACACACAAAAAATACGTTAGGGACCTAATATGGACAAACGGGAAACGTTATTACCCTCCTAAGTCATTATCCCCGTATGAAACTATAAACCCTTATAGTAAATTTTTACTTTTTAAATAAGAAACTTGTAGGTCTTGGGGTTGGTAGTTTGGATGCTTTTAACCTCGACCTTCTTTATAAATGAAAGTGGCGGTTTCTTAATGACAAGGGAGCTCTTTGGGTTAAAATTGTCAAATTTTGTCATGGGGAAGGTGGTGGTTTTTCGGACGATTCCAGAATAGGAACTGGAGGGGGTGTTTGGCAAAAGATTGTAGGATCCATTAATCATCTCCATGAGAATAGTTGTATTCCTTCTAATTCCAAGTATAGTGTGGTGGGGGAAGAGACTCAAACGAGGTTCTAGAAGGATGTTTGGTGCTTGGATATTCCTCTTAGGGAGCATTTGTTGTTGTGTGTCATAATTCTCAAGAAAGTGTGAAGCATTTGTTGCTGCAGTTTTCGGTTGCTGATCAGGTTTGGAGCCGTGTTGGGCAGTGGCTTCATTTGGACCTTCCAGTGTTTTCATTTATCCGTGATGTGGTGGATTGGGTGGATTCTAGACCGACGGTTCATATGGAACGCCCGATTGTTGAGTCGGTGTTCATGATGTTGTGGTTACAAAATCCAATCCAAACCTTCGTACTTTTTATTCTTTTTAATTTCAACAACTTTATATGAAATACACATATAAAAATAAATACTAAAAATCTTAAAAATATATATTCAAAATAATAAATACTAAAAATCTTAGGAGGGTAATAACATTTTCTGTTTGTCCATTTTAGGTCCCTACGTATTTTTTGTGCGTATTACACCATTAAGGTTATTCTAACCGTTCACAAATAGTCCTTTTAACAGGAAGAAACCGGTAAAAGGGATTATTTCTAAACGGTTATAACAACCTTAATGGTGTAATACACATAAAAAATATGTTAGAGACCTAATATGGACAAACGGGAAACGTTATTACCCTCCTAAGTCATTATCCCTAAGCAATATTCCCCCTTCATCTTGTCGACAAAGAGCTTCATATAGATGAACAATCAATAAAGCTTAAAATTAAGACCATATAACAACAAAAACGCAGCATGGGAAAAAGATGGTGCCTTAATTTGGCTTATTTCACCTTTTTGAAGACGAATTCACTCTTTTTATCCACCATACTTCATGAGATGCCATACATTGTTGGTTCCCTGCAAAAAAACGAAGAGGTTGGGATGAGTGTATGAGACAGGAAAAAGAAATAGATGTGGCTTGTTTCTAGATTTGGGGGTTTTAGCAGCTATGGTTTTTTGGTGGTGCAGCGATAGACGATTATATTTAGTGTTTTTTAAGGAGGGAGAAAAAGAAAGACGGTGGTTATGAAAAAAAGGCAAATTCAACATCGAGATTAAGTTTACATGGGTAGAAATGAGGAGTAATCTTTGTGTGCAAGTTAGAAGCGTATCTTTGAAGCTCTATGCTTTCTTGCGTTGCCCCCAAAAGTTTCAGAAAAAAAGATGAGGCGAAGATTGTGGTTTAGGGAGGGATTGACAGAAACTGGAGGTGATGTCGACTGAGATCGTGGCGGCAGGTAGTAACTCCGACAACTTGTAGTGACGTCCGTGGTGGCGGTAATGATAGTAGGTAGCGAGAGGGAGAGAATGGGGATTATAGAGATAAGATGCGAGGAGGGAGATTTTATATGAAGTGTATTTTCTGTTGTTGATAGATTCAAGTAGCAAGATATAAGGAATTACCTTATTCAAAATAGTCGGATATGAAGGAATTGACCGATTCAAATGTGAAGATAAAAAGATATAAAAGGTAAAAAAGGGAAAGATAACGAGCCAAGTCGAATAAGATATCTTTGCATTAGTTATTTTCACTTTTAGTTTAAACGTTTGTACGATTTAAATTATAATATTATTATATTCATGGGTTGTTGTACTTTTAGCTTTACGGTTTAGACGTCTTAAATATATTTTTAGAATTAGTAAGGTTTGTATAATAATATAGTAAGATATAAATAACATATATAAATATAATGGCTAGAGTGTGCGAAAAAAAGATAGATTTAAAAGCATTTAAAACTTTATATCGTGACGACTGTATTGATATTGAATGATGAATAGTATGGTACATATTTGTAAAATATAAATTTAAATAAACAAGATCAACTCGACGTTTTTTATATTCGTTTTTTTTAAGTTACATTTGATAGATTAATAATATCAATTATTGTATTTTTCATATTAAAAATTGATTGTTTTTGTACTGTATGTTATTTTTTTATTTTTTTGGTTTTACGGAATACTCAATTTATTGTAGCCTGTAACAATACAGAAGAAACATGATGATACATATTTAAAAATAGACATTATGATTACTAAATTATTAGATAAATAGACATCACCTGCATATTTTGGACAAAAGAAACAAGCATAAAATCTTAGGCTATATGGAGTGGTTTAAAATATGTTTACATTAGATAAATAGATACCACCTCAACTACACATAAGTTTCACTAAATCCTCACTAACCTTAAGAAACACCTTCCATTTTATATGACCGGTTTTATATATATAAATGAAAAAGCTGCAAAAATGATACTTGTAGTATGCATTTTTTCGGGTTTTGATACAAATCTCGACATTTTTGAATTGATGGTTATTTTGAGCTAGTTTCATTGCGTATTTAGTCACTCCGAATATTGAAATGACTGTAATACTTTATTTTCCATTTTTCTTTAGTTTTGTTAAAATCTAATTCTTGTTTATTTATTTTATTAATTAAAAAATAGGGTAAATTACACAATTCGTCCCTCGTGCACATGCCAGAAAGCGTGTTTAGTCCCTATTTTCAAAAATTAACTCGGACCGTCCCTCATTCGTTTAAAACTTGCAGGTTTCGTCCCTCTGGACATAAAAAGACCATTTTGCCCTTATTTATTTCTTTTTTAATTTTCTTTTTATCTGTTTATTATTTTTAGATTAAAAAAAAGAAAAAACAATAAATAAACATACATGAACCCACCCCTCCCTGCTCCCCCCTCCTACGTATTCCTCTACCTTTGTCCCCCATTCTCAGCTACTCCCAAAGTCGGCGAAGCCCCATCAGCCCCACCTTCACCTTCACCCAAATGTGATAAACCAAAATCGGACCAGTCGATCTTCATCCTCCTCCAATCGCCTCTATCAAACCCTAGAACTCAAGAAGGAACTGTACATGGAATCATCAACAGCACCACCATTGCCGTTGGAATCATCAACAACACCATAATCACTACCACCATCTCATATCTCCACTCAACCCTAAGTAGCCTCTCGTTTTAACTGTTCTTAATTTGCAGCAAATTAGAAGATCGAAAAGAGAGAAGTAAGTTGCGATTTATCGTTTCCCCAATTGCATTTCTACTTCTTTGAATTTAATCGATCATCTTTCTCACTCTGTGTCATAGACTGGCAACACCTCCTGCAATCACCACCAGTCATTACTCAAACCTCAAAAAATGAAACCTGAACCTGCAAATGAAACCAAACTAAACCCTAAACTTATAAATCGAAGATGATGGAGATTCAGATCGCAGAAGCGGGTTCAGAAACTGGGGGATAGAGATGGTTGGCTTCGAGGGTAATATAAGGCAGGTGGTAGTTGTTGTTTGGAGTCAATGAACTGATGATGTTCGAATGGTGCAGGTTGTACGAAGGTGGTTCCGACTGTGGTGGGTTTTCCAATTTTGAAGGTATGGTTTAAATTGGGTGTTGGTTGCGGTTTGTGATGATGAAAAGGGGTGCAACAAGGGTGTTCCGATGGTGATGTAACCCGACAAAGGAGGAGGTAGGAAGCTGGTGGTGGGTTTTAAGGTGTTATAAGGTACATGTTTGACGAAGAATGGTTGAATTGGGAAGTTGGCGATGGATGTATGGTGTTTGAGAGATGCAGATGGTGTTCATCCGATGATTTGTTGGGGTGGGGGCATGAAATGGGGCCATATTGTTTTTTCTTTTATTTTAAATTAAAAAATAATAATTATAACATTAAATTAAATGGTAAAGAAATATAAAAGGGCATAATAGTCATTTTAGGTCTCGCAAGGGATGTAGCTCGCAAATTAAAACTAATGAGGGATGTAGCGTGCAACTATTAACCAAACGAGGGACGTTCCGAGTTAATTTTTGAAAATAGGGACTAAACACGCTTTCGGGCATGTGCACGAGTAGGGGTGACAATTGTTGACACGACACGACAAAAATACACGACACGAAACGAAATTGGGACGAAACTGAAATTCGAATTCGTGTTCGTGTTGTGTTCGTGTCAAGTGTAAAAAACACGATGTCGTGTCGTGTTCGTGTTCAAAATTCGACACGATATTGACACAATTTAACATTTATTTGTCGTGTTTTTCGTGTTTCTCGTGTTATGTATGATTAAATATTAATTAAAAACACTACTTATTATATTATGTTATTTTTGTCGTGTCGTGTCGTGTTTGTCGTTTTTTAATTGGTTCGTTTTCGTTTTAGTTAGAAAAAACACGACATCGTGTCGTGTCGTGTTCGTGTTACATAAAACATTATCGTGTCGTGTCAGACAAAAACACGACACGTTGGCCCGATTTGCCACCCCTATGCACGAGGGACGAATGGTGTAATTTACCCTAAAAAATAAGAGGTGCCCACCTCTTCTTTCTCTCTCTCTATCTCTCTTGCTTTTCTCTTTCTCTTCCTGATTTGACACACACACTGATGAACTAGATGAAGATTTGGGGATGAATTAAATGACGATCTTAGGTACAGATTCAACACAGACGAACACCTCTCTCTCTCACACACACACATTTGCGATATGGCGTCCAGTGTAGACCGTTTGGAGGTAGCTTTCTTCGATGTGGAAACAACTATCCCAACCCGACCAGGAGAGGCGCATGCAATTTTGGAATTTGGGTCGATTTTAGTTTGCCCTAAGAAGCCGATTGAGTTCGAGAGATTCGATACACTAGTTAGACCACACAATATCTATCTAATTTCCTCCTCCTTCGTTCACTCCAATGGAATCACCATCGACGCTGTTGTCTCCGCCTCGTCCTTCTCGGATATCGCAGATAGGGTTTACGACATTTTACATGGTAAAACTGATATCCCCAATTTCCCTTTATACTATAGACGTATCTTGTAAAAGTGTTTACTAAATTATGAATAGAATCGATGGGTTGTTTAAGAGGAAGAGTATGGGCGGGTTACAATATATTGAGGTTTGATTGTTTGAGGTTAAGAGAGGCGTATGTGCAGATTAATAGGCCGCCGCCGGACCGAAAGAAATCATTGATTCAGTGGCTTTGTTGACAAAAAGATTTGGAAGGAGAGTCGGTCACAAAGAGGTTTGCGAGGAGAGTTAGGTGCTGTTTGTTTTTTCTGAGACAAAATGTCTTGCAGTCTGCGGATCACATCTGTAGATCTCTGTAGTAGAAGAGGTGGACCAAACGTCTGCAGTCTGAAAATAGAAGACTGTTTGTTTTTTTAACATCTGCGGGATACTAAAATAAACTGAAATCTAAATAAACTGATTTTTTTAAACTTCATTATGACTTTGTTATAAATAATTAACGAATTTAGATCAACTTTTATATATTATTTTATAAAAAATAAAAATAAAAATAATATGAATTAACGTATATATTTGATAAAAACCAACAACTCTGGTTGCAAAGTTATAACTAAACATTATAATTAGTGATCAAAGAATTTTATACATAAATTGATGGAAATAAACTTCAATTTTTTCAATTAAATCCATTAAAAACGTACCATAATATTTTCTCGAGAAATTGACGATACTGTATTAAATAATGTTTTACAAAATTTTGCAAAAAAATATAAGAATATATTATGATTTTTTTTTCATATTTATATAAACAACTTCAACGACTATTATTGTAATAAATCTTTATTTATAAATTTGTCAAAAAATATCATGTTTGTATCGTTGAACGTTTTTTTTTAAGTTTTGTAATTTTTTTTTTCAAATTGTTTATCATTAATAAAGTTGGAAAAAATATAAATTAAAAAAAACTTAAAAAAAATAAAGATATATATATATTTTTTTAGGCTAGAAGATGTATGAAGATGTTAGAAGACTCTGGTCTACATCTGCGCCAAGAAGAGGACACGCAGACATTTTTAGGCCTGCAGTCTTCAAAAAAACAAACAGTCTGCGAAGGTTAATGTCTGCGCGTGGTCTGTGCGGCGCAGACAGAAGAGACCACGCAGATTTGCAGACAAAAAACAAACACTACCTTAATAATCTATTCATTTCGTCTCTCCCACCCAACGTCGGTAAGGTCAATATTTTAGGGTCCATTCCTGATTGGATTTCTGGGCTGAGCTCTTTAAATCTGTGGTGTTAAGCCGGAACTTTTTTTCTGGACTAATTTCACCATCCATTAGAGGATTCTATTTTTCAACCACTGTAATTGGTTACGTGTCTTTTGATGAAATCTCCTAAGGTGTGATATTTCTTGATAAATCGTTGGTGGTATGCATCTGTACTTCTGTATTAATTTTTTTTTTAGTTTTAAGAATTGTGATGTGTGTGTATTTTCATACGTGAGTAGATGATGAGAGTGAGAGAGAGCGAGAGCGTCATATATATTACTAGGTTATAACCCGTGTAGTACACGGTTGACCAAGTAAAAAAATATTAAAATTTAAAAAGTGTAAAATATAGTTAGATTTTTGTCCATAATTGTATAATCATTAATTTAGATCCACACCGGAAAGAATAACACTTTAATTTTTGTTTAAATGCAATAAATGGGATAAATTGAAAATATACCGATATAATAAACATAAGTATTGTACTTTGATAATCATTGGTATAACCTTAAAGGCTTTTGTTTATTTTCCACATAAAGACAAATAAACTAATACAAATCAACTAATAGACACATTTCATAGTCAAAGATACCATTTTTTCTGTCAAAAAGAGGAAAATTATGGCTAAGAAAGCTACATTGGAAGAGTAAAAGTCATTGAATTCAAAATTAAATGGTTAAATGATTAAAAGTCAAAAAACATATATGAAATTTTAATAAGTTATTGAAATATTTTTTACAAAAAAAAAAAAAATAGTAACAAAAACCAATGTATGTTGTGGTAAAAAAATAAAAATACGTTGTTATTATAGGTTAAAAACGAAAATAGATTGTTATTGTGGGTAAAGAAATAAAAGTATGTTGCTATATTGACCAAATCATTATGTGACAAAGGGAAATTCCATAAAGGAAATTATAGGTTCCTTGAAATACAATAATAACATAAATAAAAATATGGCAACAAAGAACTGAAAATCACCATTATATGCAAAATTAAAATGTAAACGCTTAAAATTAGATTTCAAGCTAAAACTTAAAAATTTTAAAATTTCATACTTTCTAAATAATTGACCAAATCACATAGTATTTTAAAATTTCTCCTAAGGTGTGATATTTCTTGATAAATCGTTGGTGGTATGCATCTGTACTTCTGTATTAATTTTTTTTTAATTTTAAGAATTGTGATGTGTGTGTTTTTTCATACGTGAGTAGAGAGAGAGAGCCATATATATTATTATTAATATTTTAAAATAAATAGAAAAGAACATAAAAAAATATTAGAGGGCAATTTAGTCTTTTTAGTGTTCCGAGGGACCAAAAACACATAAAACTAACTCAAAATGACCACTAATCCAAAAAAGTTGGGGTTGGGACCAAAACTCGAAAAAAATGCATACTACATGGACCATTTTTGCAATTTTGTCTGCATAAATACTATGTGAATCCTCGCCCGTTGCGCGAGATTATAATTATATAAATAAAATAATAACTTTTAACAAATTATGATTGAATATTTATACCTACAACAAGGGCTAAAGGACCCGGTTAAATAGGTTAAAGAACCTGGTTTTGCAACCAGGTTTGATACCGGCGAGTCTTATGCAGAATTCATAATAGAACCCGGTTTTAAACCGTGTCCTTTTATGACGAAAAGAGCCCGGTTTTCATTCATATAATTGGGGCATATGACACCTTTTGTGCCAAAATATATATAGGTTCAATATAAACAATTGGGTCGTATAAGAGTTTTAGCCTCTTTTTCATATGAGACTTAGAGCCTGGTTCCTAGATAAGCAATCTACTCCTTTTAGCACTTCGATTGTTTTATAAAAATAACAACACAATAGTTCTTGACTATCAATTCATGACAAAGGGTGTATAAATAAACAACTTTTGTTATGTGGACATGCTAAATAACAAACCATAATAGCCATCGATAAAAACATAATCAAACAAAGACATATGTCCGAGTAAGAAAAGAAATTATGGATTTGGTAATTTCATACATCATACAACTTGCATGAAAATTAAAAAAAGAACATATATCGTCACTATAACGTTCCAAAAATCATAGTAATATTTTTCATTTTTAAAAAGGGGATAAACTATTTTCCATAAAACATAAGTTAATAGAATAATTTTTCACAACCATATTATCAAATCAGAGTATCAAACATAATATCTCTAAAAAACATATCAACAAATGGATAAGGTGTACAGTCAAGCCTTCTCCTTCCCCCGATCCTTTGAAGTACATGAAACATTTAAATCCACAACTGTAACTCAAAGCTTAGTGAGTTCCCTAAAATACCCCACAGAACAATACACATACAATGTATGCATACATGAGCCTTCAGTCTGACTGGACCGCTCTCCTCAGCCCACAACATATAGTTGGACCGCTCTCCTAAGCCTACAACACTGGGGTGGACCACTCACTTTGGACCTACAGTATCAACTAGACCGCCCGAGTATCTTGGCCTACAACACAAAGTAGGACCGCCTCAACCCAACCACAATATCTCGACATATGCAAACAGACAAACAATAACCAACAAACACAGCTAATCATAACTGGTATACCAAACTAACAGATCACTACAACATAACAACATCTTACATACACGGATACATACTACAATACAAAGCATAGTGAGAAAACTCACCTTGCAGTCTACCAACCAATCAACACAGCTCAAACGAAGGAATTGATAAAATCTTTCAAAGGAAAACGATTTTTCTAAAAACGTTTTACAAAGAAAAGGGGCGTGATGCATGCATTCAGCCGAGCTCAAGTAAGTGATTCCCAAAATACCCATACATGTTGATATGTTATATGTGTTATAGTATGATATGCATGTTAGAAGTTGCATGCTAGGATGCCTGCTTAGGAGAGATTCCTTTATGCCTATTATGAGAACTGAAATTAATGCACGATAGTGAGTAGGCTAAGGATCTTCAGGAATTGCGAGTTAGGATTGCCTGATTTTGATGATGCCTTTTTGCTTGTTAGTTTCGATGCTCGAATGATGTTTGCTTTGTGCGAAATGGAATCTAAATTGATGTTAGCTATTTATTAAGTGGATACGTTAAGTTGCATGCCACGAAGATTGAACAGTTTTAGCATGAAAGAATTGGCTCTATTGTGCAACTTTTGTCTGAGTCCAACCGTTCTGGTGCTGGGTCTTTCAGTCGAAGAACTGTTTAATTTCTGTTGCATGCAATTGTATTCGTGAGGTATATGGTCGACATTGGTGAAAGTTCTTTCACAGTTGATAGCAGAGAGAGAGAGAGAGAGAGAGAGAGAGGAATCCTAGGAGAGCCTATGAAGTATTTTAGTATAATAAGTGTGTCGTTTAGCGAGATTTGTGGGTCCCGTTATAAGGGAGTGACTTAGAAGATTCAGGATGATTCTTGAGGAAAGTACGGATATGCGTGGAAGGTAGTATTGGGCCCGTACTACTGGAAGCACATGATCCGTACTCGAATCGAGGAAAATCACGAGGATTCTAAGGAGTTGGTTGAGGGTAGATAACATGGTTTGACACCATGATTCATTGCAATGCGTTTCCGTCTTTATCGGTCTATTGGTTATGGTTGTTTAGGATGACAGATGATTTCACATATTGACCAAAACCTTGAACTAAATCTAGAACGAAGTATTCTAACTTACGACAACATATTCATAGTTCAACGATTTATTTAGGATAAACTGATGAATGAGGAATAGATTGGACATTTCAAGGTGTATTGAATTGTCAAAGAATTTGTGTTGATTGTTTAGTTGACTTTCGGGTGAGTCTTCTCAATATACTATGTAGGATGCTAGTTGTCTTTGTGATACTCGCATGGAAGACCATGGGGGTAGCCCATGACATTTGTATGTAAGACCATGGGGGTAGCTCATGACATTTGTATGTAAGGCCATGGGGGTAGACAATGACACTTGTATGTAAGACCATGGGGGAGCCC